GAAAAGAGCAAAATGGTCATACAGGGGCTCGAACCCTGGACCGCAGCGTTATTAGCACTGTGCTCTACCGACTGAGCTATACGACCGCTAATCCACAACAACACAACAACACACACACAAACCAAAATACGAACCCTACCACGAAAACATGCCACGGACACGCACACACGCTGTGCCGCGCACTTCTACACTATCTTACGCTGCTCTACCGCCTCGACTTTGTCTCTCCGACCACTTCCTGTCCGACCCTCATTTACCTCCATCTTTTAGCATATTTTTTTTTTAAATATCTACAAAATGAAGATGAGCTTGTGTCTGTTCGACTGTGGAATTCACCTCCGATTAGATATCGTCGCCGGTCTCTAAATGAAGTGTCTCTACCAATATCAGAGGTTTTTACTTCACTGACATCGTCAAACACCGTTCCAACCGATCATGACATTGGTCGTTGACTCCGTTTTTCTTTCTCATACGTAACCACAAATATATTAATTTTTAATGCGTCCCGTTGAAAAATGAGTCGTGCACAGCGGCGACCGACGCATTTCTTCGTCACAGTTTGCGTCAGCTCGTGTTCCAATGCGAAGCCGCTTGTAATGCTACTCATGAGGCTGCCGCGCATCTGAGCGGACCAACGCTTTGGTACTGTCTTTCAAATACATGTCAGCCGAGACAGATCCCTTGAACTTTCTAATTCAGCTCTCGAGGTGGTTATTGGTGTGAACCTTAAAGTGAGGAAGGTCGGTGCGCCTGTATACAGACCAAAATTCAGTACAAAAGTTTCAATTCTATTCCATGTAGCCGACAAATGAGACGTTTCTAGCCTCATTGCGAGCTTTCTTTAAAGCCAAAGGACTCTCTTCATAGCCGCGCTCGTCTTGCGCATAGATCATATTGTGGACGATGGTGTCAACTGTGCAGTGGGCCTCGGAACTGTGGTGTAGCGGGATCAGCAAAATCTGCGAGATTGCTGGATCCTACTTTCCATCATTACCCAGATAC